AGGCTGAAACACCGAATACACTAGCCTAGTGAACAAAATTGCACTACAAGTGCAAGGAGCATGGAAGAGGCAACCAAACCAACCCAAAACAGAGTTATGACATGGCAAATAATGGCTAAAAACATGCTTGAACTAAGCAAATTCAAGGCACAAAGACATGTTACTTTGCAAGGCTACAAGTAGGATTACATTACAAGTACAAGAAACATGCAAGAGGTGACCAAGACAGCCAAAGACAGAGTTATGGAAGGTCAAAAAAGTTACAAAAATGAGCCTAAACAAAGCCACTAAGAAGTAGAAACACATGCTCTTTTGATGGGCCATCAGCATATGCAAACAAGAGAAGAGGATGGGGGACCACCCCCACCCATTTGGGACCTCAAAACTACCTTTCCACCACTGAAATTCCTCTAAGTTTCAGTGATAATAAGGCCAAAAAGAAATGATCCCAAAGGCCTTAAGAGATGGCACAAAGCAAAGCAAAACAAGCCACCAAAGGGGGTAAACCACCCCTAACTCAAACTAGGCCTTAAACAACCATTTTAAACACTTAAAAATAGAACTTTTTACAGTTGAAAGCTAAGCCTAAAATAGCATGCAAAGGTGGCTAAGAGAGTAACCAAAACAAAGCTTTAAAAGGGAAAATGGGATTACCTTTGAAGCACAGCAACAACAACACCTTCTTGGGCCAAAAACCAGCCTTTTGAAGCTCCCACAAGACCCTCAAGCACCTCAGCAACAGGTAGGAGTGTTTGGCTAAGAGGTTGTGTGCAAAAGTGTGAAGAAAGCTTACTTCCAAGCACTATAGAGCACAATATATAGAGAGAGAGACAATCAATTTTTGTCTCTAAATTTTCTGAACGCTTTAAAAGTGGGAGAGAGCTCCCCCTTATATAGAATATGCAAGCCAAAGCTTGCTTGAATCCCTCCCTACAAGGCCTTCGGTAATCTCGGATTACTGGCCGGTTACGGTGCTAAACCCATAGGGCCGGGTTTGGGTCGTGACACCCAGCTCGTCGGCCGTCGGCGTCCCAGCTCATCGGCTGATCTCGCAGCTCGTCACTCGTCGCTTGTCGGCATCGCAGCCCCGCCTCCACCTCCACCTCCACCCGATTTTGTTGGCCCCTCCAATCCAGTTCTCCTCCTCCTTCTTCTCCTCCTCCTCTTCCTCTTCCTTCTTCTTCCCCCTAATTTCGAGCCAAATTCGAGCCCTTATAATCGGGCTCTGTAGCAAAATTGTTTCATCATGAGCTGGTGGTTTTTGAATTTTGCAATAATTGGGTCCAAAAACTTCGTTAAAATGAAGAAAAAATTCAAATCAAATCCTTATCGAAATTTGTAAAATATTATTAAAAAAAAAAATTGAAGTGTTTTACTCCCATTCCACCAACATATATTATATAAATTTTGAATGTGACATATCTCAGTAGATTGCGTTTGAATATTTTATCAACATTATTAAAAAAAAATTACTTAAAAAAAATACTTATAATCTATAATTATTTTGAGTATGATTCACATCTCACTAATTATAAATTTACGTTCTCATGTTCAGCATAATTTTCATTGTTACAAGTTTGAGAGGCGTCACATGAAGTGAGTTTCAACCAATGATGGATCCAGAGGGGGGCAAGAGGGGCAATCGTCCCCCTATTATTTTAAAAACATCATTTATTATAGTAGTATTAGTTATAATTATTTACATATCCTCTGCATTTTTTTTTCTTTTAAAATTTTTTTAAGCGACTCTCACTCTATATATATGAAACATAGAATCAAAATATAATATTAAAAAATAGACATAAATAATAAAAAAAATTCTTTGTTCTAACTGTTGTTAATTACAAGTCCAAATTTCTAAAGAATTGAATAAGGTATTAGTTAATTACTTAATTACGTTCATTGATAAAGACATTATATAAGATTTTAATATCAATTATATCATAGATATTTTTAATAACATGAATTAATATTGAGCACAACAATTCAAGATTTCACACTTTAATATATAGATTGTTTTATAATTGATATTTTTTGTAATATGGATATAAAAAAATGCAATTCATATATATTTTTATCTTATTTTCACTTTTTAAACTAATAGAAATTGATATTATAACTCGTATCTTCTTTTTAAAATTTTGTTCTCCTATATGAAAATCTGGGTCTGTCTCTAGTTTCGACGGTTCGATTTGGTGATCACGTAGAAGAAATAATATATATGTTTGCCTCCTATGTGAAAATCTGGGTCTATCTCTAGTTTTGACGGTTCGATTTGGTGATCAAGTAGAAGAAATAAAAAGCCGACAATGTTAGCCTGTTGTCCAAGGCTCTTAGAAAAGTTTGAAAAAATTCTTATTATAGGAGGTCTTATTTTTAAGTAGTCCAATAAGATAAGACTTCATTTCGACATTCAGCTTAAAATTTAAAAAAGTCTTGACCCGCAACGGTAAACAAATTTTTTGTCCAAACCTCATTTCAATAGGAATTGGGATAGTTGCTATATGGGGTATAATTGACACTGTTGTACGGCTCATGTGACTTATTTCAAGATCCATTTTGATGATCAAAAGCGTTCATTTATTATGAAATATTGAGTAGAACATATTTATAAAAAATCAAGTTGATCATATCGATAGACTTTTTATCAAATTATATTTGTATCTAAAAAAATAATGGTAAATGTGATTTGAATTATAAACCTGAATAAGAATTTATTTCTGTGAAAATATTATCGATATCCAAGCAATTAATTTTTTATAGATATATTTTACTCGATATATTATAAAAAATAAATAATTTCGATCATCAAAATAAGTCCCACATGCCACATTACAATGATTATATATCATCACCCCATGTGAGGGGTGATCCTCCATGTGCTACAAGAGTGCAAAGCCAACAAAGATGTGTTGGCCATGTGAAAGAAGATGCAACATGTGGAGAAAGAGCTGGCCATGTGCATGGACAGCCAAGCTCTCCCTCTGTTAGTGTATAAATGGAGGTTGTGGTGAGAGTTTAATAGAGAGAGTGAAAAACAGAGCAAGTCAGAGAGTGAGATATGTGAGGCGGAGAGACCGTCTCCCTCGGTGTGAGCGAGGGAGACGGGTGAGTGGGTGAGTGAGGAGAGTGTGAGCTCCTCCTCTATTGTAATCTTTCTGTAATATCTCCATTGTTATAGTGATAACCGGCTACTCTCCCATGGACATAGGCATTGAGGCCGAACCACGTTAAATATTGTGTCTCCTTGAGTGTGGGTGTGTTTTTCTGCATGGAATAATTTCTATAAGGTCTTGGGCGGGATCCCAGATCCCAACAAAGTTATCATCTTTGTATTTTTGATTGTTAATACTAATTATGATATTATTTTAATTATAATTTAATAGTTATTTAGTTATATCTAATGTTATAATTCAATTATTTTATTTTATTTTATTTTTTTACGTTATAACTCAGTTATGTCATTTATAATGATCATATTTAACATTTGAGCAAAAAAGTGAGAGAATCCATGTGGATTGATACCTAGACTTACTAATATTCTAATGAATTTGGTATAGTTTAGTGTTTATTTTTGGTGTGTGAAACGACCTATCACATACAAAATGCTTCAACACATTGGTAAAAATCCCAATTAAAACTTAAGCAACAATTCCTTCAAATTTAGTCCAAAAATCTCTTTCTATGCTTAGGTATTCTTGTTAAACAAAGAGGTTAGTAGTCCAAATATATATATGTTTTTAAAAAAATTTATTGCAAGCCCAAAATTCCATTCATTTAAATTCGTATTTTTTTCCCCTTCCTTTTGCATTGGTATTCCTGTAAAGAAAGTTAGCACAAACAGACAACAAAATACAAAGCAAAGAATTGGAAAAAAAACAGTAAACTACCTTTTAGCAAACTATTTAATAGCAAAATTAACTAATGAATTAAAATACTAGATGAGTTACCAAAAAAAAAAGCCTACAACTCTAAGAATTAAATTATGTATGAAATTATTACACAATAAACATGTAAATAAATATAGACAATTTACATACGCTTAATTTTAGAGCAATTATATTGTAAATAACTCATGTGAATAATTCTAGAATTTAGAAAGCAATTAGCATGCAAATCACACAAATTATAAAATAAAAAGACATGCAAAGCATGATAGGAAATCATGAACCATACTCATAAAATAAATTGATACTAAAACATTATATTAGAGATCTAGAAATAAAAGTATTCTAATTAAACTGAAAAATTCAAACATAACATTGCATACATTAATTTACATATGAAACAATGGTAAATTAAATTAAAAGTTTAATAAAAAATAACATGTACAGTTATTAAAGCAGTGGACTACAGGTGGTTCGGTTTCAGTGGTTGGGAAAGCAAACAACAACATGCATATGAATTAAATCTGCACACTATTATCCATATATCATGAAACATATATTTGAATTCCTTATTCACTGGCATAAATATGATATTCAAGTTCCTAGACATATTCACAACATAACATATAGCAACAACATGCATATATCAATTACGCTAGGGGTCAGGAAAAGTTTATCAGGAAATGTTTCATGAATGAGTTGGCATTGACCAACTCATTTTGGTTGAGCCCCAATATATTATTAGAAAAGAAAAAAAAAAAGAGACAGAAGTTGGAACGACTATAGAGACAAAGTTGAATACCTTCTTCTCAGAATGAATTGGGGAGAGAGAGAGAAAGATAAACGTCGTCGGAAGAGTGACCTACCTTCTTCTCAGAACTCGTCTTTGTCGTCATTGACTGGTACTCCTCTCTTTCACTTAATTTACAGTGAGTTTAGGTGTTTTCTTTTACTAAACTCATGTGGTCGTTACACATCACTATCTTTGTTCAAACATTTCGCTAACTTGTTGAATACCATCTATTCACCTAATTCTTTGCTGGTGTGCCTCACTTGCTCGACGAAATTCCTCAACCAATTCTTCCAGTCCTAACCCAAGTGTTTATTTATTATTTTTCTATACACTTATTATCTAATGAGTTCCTCTTATAAATTGCTTTGAATTAAACAGTTTTCCTGATGAAAATTGTGTGTGTCAATTTCCGACCACACTGCCAATCAAGCACTCAGCTGGAGAACACTGGCAGAATAGATTAAGCCAGAACGACCTGTCACAAAAAGAAGAGATTACGGCAGTGGTTCGTCCACCCGGGGGCACTCCGACGATCAAGTCAGTTATCTCTCAAAGATAGCAAAAGTGCTTAACTCACTATTCAGAGCATAAAAAGCATACCTTAGACCCATGGAGGTGCCTCTCTTTTATAGCCAACACTTACCTAATCCCAATAGAAGCCTAACTTCAATGGACTTAGGATTACTGCTAATCTTGGACTCCCAGTAGGATTGGGATAAACTCTCTAAGAGTCTCATCTTCATCCAAATTGAAGTCCTCTTCCATTCTAGGACTCTTATCCCTTATCTGCTTATCCCGGATTCCGGTTTCTTCGCAGATAACCTCGACCTAGCCGAGATCATCTTGGTGTCATGACCAAGACACGTGACACCTCGGCTGACACTTCGGTGTCACGTCGGCCACGTGTTGTCATTCAAAAATTATGTCCCCACAGCTGCCCCTTAGGTTCTATTACCTCGGCATCCTGAGGTAATGGAACCTATATCATTCCTTTCATTTAGCACATCGGCTAAGTTCACTTTATCCTTCATTACCGAGGTCATCATTCGTCGGCTCAAATATGACCAAGACTAAGTCTGTTTTCATCAATGCCTTAGAACCAAAAAACTAAGTTTTGTTCAATTTTCACAACTGAGATCGTCCTTCTAGCCGAGGTCCTGCTCCATTAAATTAAGAACTCCAAGAGTTTCATCAAGCGTATGAGCTGTCACGCACAGCAACTCAACCGTTTTTGCCATGGGTCTTTCCCCTACTGAGCCATGCCTGACACGCGCCATTAAGTCGTATCGCACTTGCGTGCGCCGTCTGACAAACACGTCGTCCGAGGCACACTAAGGCCTCGTTTGGGAATAGGCTAATTTAGTAACGTTTTGGCTATTTGGCTAAAATATGAGCTAAAATAAACTAGTATGTTTGGAATGACTTTTTGGCTAATTACGAAAAGATGTGCAAAAAGTAGAGAGAAAAGAGAATCTTTGACTTTTTGGTATGGGTTGTTGGCTTTTTGGCTAATTTAGTAACTTTTTGGCTAAAACAGAGCCTTCCCAAACGAGGCCTAAATGTGTTTTTGCCGCCATTTCGTGTGTTTGATCAAAATCACTTCTCTCTCTCTGTCTTTTCATTTTTGCATCTTCGTCTTCATACAAGCTTTCTCTCTCTAACTTTCTCGAAATCCTATTGCCTCAAGCTCTAAAGCTCTCTGCAATCACCGCCGTTCACCTCCTTCGGCGAGGTTTTTGCTGATCCTTTCCGTATGCTGCCATCATCTGACTCCGGCGTACTCAACACCGGCTTCATTTTTCTTCAGTGAGTCACAATTTCCTCATTTATCAGTCTGTGTTTTTCTTTATACCTTGTACTTTTTTCTTACTTTTTGAAACAATGTAAGCTTTAATTTGGCCGACGTGCCATTTTTGTAATCTAAACAATCATTCTTTAATGTCAGGCCGAGGTGCCTTCTTTCCTTATCTGATTGCATATACAACTTTTTTCCCTTTCAAGTGCTTTGAATGTTTGTCTTCTGTTTTACTCTTGCATGCTTCTATACTTAGAATAATTTGCATGTCTTCAATGTACACCCTAATTGTGCAACCTCCTCGGGGTGGAATACCACGGTTAAACCACTATCGGTTTATTTCGACAAGTACATAGGTACTTCTTTTCAATACAACCTTGGCTTAACTTGTAATTTTTTCTTAAAAATTTCAACAAGTGTTTAAACCAATCTTCCTTTAACATAACCTCGAATTCACTTCAACTTGTAAATTTTTCATAAAATTTCAACAAGTATTAAACATGACCACAGTTTAACTTCAACTTATAAATTTTTCTTAAATTTTAACAAGTGTTAAACATGACCTTAGTTTAACTTCAACTTGTAAATTTTTCTTTAAAATTTCAACAAGTGTTAAACCGATCTTGGCTTGGAAATTCCAACTCCCAAGCATCATTCTCCAGCCTTGTGCCCCCTAATGTGAACTTAAGTTCCACTTGGGTTCTCATTTAAGCACGTGGCATTGATCTTGTCGTCAAGATCAGATTTAGATAGAGGCTAGCCGAGGTCATTAACCTCGGTCTCCCTGTTAATCTAACTGATATGGGTTAATTCAACTTAGTTCAACTCTATTATATGCAAGTAAAAACTCTACCATATAATAAGTCTAAGTTATTCGTCATGTTTCAATCAGAAACATCGCCAACTTAGTTCAACTCTATTATATGCAAGTAGAAACTCTGCCATATAATAAGTCTAAGTTATTCGTCATGTTTCAATCAAAAGTATCACCAACTTAGCTCAACTCTATTATATGCAAGTAGAAACTCTGCCATATAATAAGTCTAAGTTATTCGTCATGTTTCAATTAGAAGTATCGCCAACTTAGCTCAACTCTATTATATGCAAGTAGAAACTCTGCTATATAATAAGTCTAAGTTATTCATCATGTTTCAATCAGAAACATCACCAACTTAGTTCAGCTCTATTATATGCAAGTAGAAACTCTACCATATAATAAGTCTAAGTTATTCATCATGTTTCAATCAGAAACATCGCCAACTTAGTTCAGCTCTATTATATGCAAGTAGAAACTTTGCCATATAGTAGAGTTGAACTAAGTTGGCAATGTTTCTGATTGAAACATGATATGGCAGAGTTTATACTTTCATATAATAGAGTTGAACTAATTGTGGGGACATAATTTTTGAATGACAACACGTGGCCGAGGTGACACCGAAGTGTCAGCCGATGTGTCACGTGTCTTGGCCATGACACCGAGATGATCTTGGCTAAGCCAAGGTTATTTGCGAAGATACCAGAATTCGGGATATGTGGATAAGGGACAAGAGTCCTAGAATGGGAGAGGACTTCAGTTTGGATAAAGATAAGACTCTTAGAGAGTTTATCCCAATCCTACTGGGAATCCAAGATTAGCAGTAATCCTAAGTCTATTGAAGCTAGGCTTCTATTGGGATTAGGTAAATGTTGGCTATAAAAGAGAGGCACCCCCATGGGTCTAAGGTATGGTTTTTATGCTCTGAATAGTGAGTTAAGCACTTTTTCTATCTTTGAGAGATAACTAACTTGATCATTGGAGTGCCCCCGGGTGGACGAACCACCGCCGAAATCTTTTCTTTCTGTTGACAGGTTGTTCAGGCATAATTTATTATGCCGGTGTTCTCCAGTTGAGTACCTGTTTGGCAGTATGGTCGGAAATTGATATCCACAATTTAGCACCGTCTGTGGGAAAGAAAGGAGAATAGATGGCCAACAACGGACAGAAAGAGAAGGTTGGGAACGACACCCCTACTGAGAGTGGGAAACATATTGACCTTGATGTCGAAGAAGACAACTGCAACGTAGAGACTCATGATAAGAATCATAAAGGAAAGGACGTCGGCCACGAGGGTGGCGTATCGAAGAAATCGGACCGCATCGGGTATTATAATGAGGACGACCTCCAGGTATGGAAAGCTAGATGCCTATGGAGGGATAACGAGATAAAGGGAATGGTGGACAAATTGGCAGACCTTCAAATGGTCGTCAATTTCATGATGCAAAACAACGTCATGCAGCCACCGTTCCGCTACAAGATACACTGATTTCAGCGGCCAAGAAAGGTGCCCAGAAAGGGAGGCAAAAAATAGTTCCTGCAGTCCCCTCAGCATGGTGGGACCAAGGGACATTCTCACCGGCCTTCGCGGGAGGTTGGGCATGGAGAATCCCAAAAGACACATTGAACAAAAGAAACCTGCACCAAAGAACATCGGGATGTTCACGGGAAGGAACTTTGTTTCGACACGACCAATGGAGGGAGGACCAAAAGGACTCACAATGACACTGGAAGTAGTGCACCAAAGAGGTTGAAATCCGGAGATAACCGAGCTCCTGGACGAACTAAGGAGGATCTGAGGGATTACCTTCAAAGAAAACGACAAAATGCCGAGGTGACCTCTGCGGTCAAGCCGAGGACACCGTTCTCGGTAGAGTTGGACAAATTTGAGGCCCCGAAAAGGTTTCCCATGTCGAGATTCCAAATATACGACGGTAAGTCGGACTCGAACTTTCACGTCGGCTTGTACCTGAACTCGATGGCATTATACACCGGGAACGAGCCGTTGCTCTGCAAGGTGTTCCCCTCGTCATTTGGGGAAATTGTATCAGATTGGTTTCACAAGTTGCCAAAAGGAACTGTGAAAACCTAGAAAGGCCTAGTCAAGATGTTCGTGGCCAGGTTTGTAACAAACAAACTATAGCCATTAAGGGTGGACTCCCTGATGGCCCTGAGAATCAGTGAGGATGAAAGCCTTAGGGCTTATGCCAAGAGGTATTACGAGGTGTTTAACCGAATACTATGATGCAACTAATAGGTGGCGGTCGTGTCCTTTAAGAACGGCTTAAAATATGACTGTCTGCTACGAAAATTACTGTCAAAGACACTACCAAAGAGTATGGAGGAACTCATAGCCAAAATAAAGAAGTATGCAAGGGCCGAGGAAGACACGCCGGGGACAAAGGCATCAACAGAAGAAAAGAGAAATGACTCGCCGAAGCGAGGCTGGGATAACACTGGATACAATAAGCAAGAGACAGGATTAAGGGCTGCACAGGCAGTCACAACTGATCCCTCCAGCCTAGGTGCGCAGATCCCAGATTCCAGAAGACAAGATCTCGACCTAGATGATTAAGTCCGAGAAGAGAAAAGCTCAGTCTAAGTTAAAGACTTTTTATATAAAGTCCACAAAGGAGTAGGTGAAAGCCATGCAGGGGGCAGATCCCTTGCCCATAGAGCAATATCGCAGGGATTCTTTTGGCCTTACATGCAAAAAGAAACTGAAGCTTATGTAAAAAAGTGTGAAAATGTTGTTGAAATCCACCTGCAATGTGCGAGAGAACAACAATTTGGCTGGGGGCATACCAACAACAACTTGCTAGGGCTTACAACAAGAGGGTCAGCCCAAGAGAGTTCAAGGTTAAGGACCTCATCCTGATAAAGGTTGTCGGCAATAAGAAGGATAATATGGATGCCAAACTTGGCCCAAATAGAATCATCTCGGTTGCCAGTAATAGGGCATATCGGCTGAAGTAATAATAAAGTGCTAGTTTGATTTTTGTAAATTTGAAATCTGTACGATAGGACCGACCAGTCTTATGACGATGTTTCTGATTGAGACATGACGAATAATTTAGACTTATTATATGGCAGAGTTCCTACTTGCAGATAATAGTGTTCAACTAAGTTGGCGATGTTTCTGATTGAAATATGACGAATACCTTAGAGTTATTATATGGCAAAGTTCCTACTTGCATATAATAGAGTTGAACTAAGTTGGTGATATTTCTGATTGAAACATGACGAATAACTTAGACTTATTATATGTTAGAGTTCTTACTTGCATATAATAGAGTTGAACTAAGTTGGCGATGTTTCTAATTGAAACATGACGAATAACTTAGACTTATTATATGGAAAAGTTCCTATTTGCATATAATAGAGTTGAACTAAGTTGGCGATGTTTCTGATTGAAACATGACGAATAACTTAGACTTATTATATGGCAGAGTTCCTACTTGCATATAATAGAGTTGAACTAAGTTAAATTAACATGGACTTGCTATATTAGCAGAGTCAAACACAGATTGAAACTAAGTGCACTTGGGTAAGATAAACAGAAGAAACAAGGTTGCGAACATCGGCTAGTCTCTGTTTAAATATAGACTTCGGCAACGAGGTCAAGGCCACATGCTTCATGAGAACCCAAGTGGAACTTAAGTTCACATTAGGGGGCAGAGGGCTAGAGAATGATGCTTAGGAGTTCGAATTTTCAAGCCAAGATCGATTTAACACTTGTTAAAATTTAAGAAAAAATTACAAGTTGAAGTTAAACTGATGTCATGTTTAACACTTGTTGAAATTTTATGAAAAATTTACAAGTTGAAGTGAATCTGAGGTTATGTTAAAGGAAGATTGGTTTAAACACTTGTTGAAATTTTTAAGAAAAATTTACAAATTAAGCCAAGGTTGTATTGAAAAGAAGTACCTATGTACTTGCCGAAATAAACCGATAGTGGTTTAATTGAGGTATTCCACCCCGAGGAGGTTGCATAGTTAAGCTGTACATTGAAGACATGCAAATTATTCTAAGTATAGAATCATGCAAGAGTAAAAAGAAGACAAGCATTTAAAGCACTTGAAAGGGAAAAAAGTTGCATAGGCATTCAGATAAGGAAAGAAGGCACCTCGGCCTGACATTAAAGAATGATTGTTTAGATTACAAAAATGGCACATCGGCCATTGTTTCAAAAAGTAAGAAAAAAGTAAAAGGTACAAAGAAAAACACAGACTGATAAAGGAGGAAATAGTGACTCACCGAAGAAAAATGAAGCCGGTGTTGGGTACGCCGGAGTCAGATGATGACAGCGATCGGAAAAGATCAGCAAAGGCTTCGCCGAAAGGGAAGACTGAAAATGGTTGCAAAGCTTGAGAGCTTGAAAACAATAGCGGATTTGGAATAAGGGAGAGAGAGAGTTAGCACAAAGTTGAGGATGCAAAAGTGAAAAGACGGAGATAGAGAAGTGGTTTTGATCAGAACCATGAAATGGCGGCAAAATTGCAATCAATGTGCCTAGGGTGACATGCTTGTCAGACAGCGCACGCAGACGCAAGGCGACTTAATGGCGTGTGTCAAGTACTGTCCAATAAGGGAAAGACGCGTGGCTAAAACGGTTGAAATACTATGCATGGCAGCTTACACGCATGTTGAAACTCTTGAAGTTCTTGATGTAATAAAGCAAAGACCTCGGCTAGGAGGATGATCTCGGCTAAATAAATTTGAACCGACTTGATTATTTGTTCTAAGGCATTCGTGAAAACAGATTACAGGTCTTGTCATATGGAGCCAACGAATGATGACCCCGATAATGAAGGATAAAGCGAACTTAGCCGATGTGCTAAATGAAAGGAATGATATAGTTTCTATCACCTCAGGATGCCGAGGTAATAGAACCTAGGGGACAATTGTTGGGACAAAATTTTTGAATGACAACATGTGGCCGAGGTGACACCGAAGTGTCAGCCGAGGTGTCACGTGTCTTTGTCATGACACCGAGATGATCTCGGCTAGGCCGAGGTTATCTGCGAAGAAACTAGAATCTAGGAAAAGCGGTTAAGGGACAAGAGTTCTAGAATGTGATAGGACTTCAGTTTGGATAAAGATAAGACTCTTAGAGAGTTTATCCCAATCATACTGGAAGTCCAAGATTAGTAGTAATCCTAAGTCCATTGAAGCCAGGCTTCTATTGGGATTAGGTAAGTGTTGGCTATAAAAAAGAGGCACGTCCATGGGTCTAAGGTATGCTTTTTATGCTCTAAATAATGAGTTACGCACTTTTGCTATCTTTGAGAGATAACTGACTTGATCGTCAGAGTGTCCCCAGGTGGACGAACCACCGCCGGAATCTTTTCTTTTTGTTGATAGGTTGTTCAGGCATAATCTATTCTGCCAATGTTCTCCAGCAGAGTACCTGTTTGGCAGTGTGGTCGGAAATTGATACACACAGTTTTGGTAACCCAATGATGGCTTTGAACGGTGTTGTTAAGCTGGGGAATGTTGTTCCTCAACTGGGTTGGGGAGAATTGAGTTTTAAGCCTTCTAGGTTTGTGTGTTATCAGGTGAAAGACAATGAGGGAGTTCGTAAATGGGAGTGTCTTAATGGGTTTTTGAGTTTATCATCAACCCACCAGACAATAAGATCTATGGATGATGATGAGAAGTCGTCAAGTTCGGCTACGGAATTGCAAAGGGTGGTTGATCACACGGAAGGAAACGACTCTAGAAGGTTGCAGAATGATTCAATTACTCTTCCAAGTGGGTTCTTTCTTTGCTGCTTGATTAATATATGGGTTTTTATTCCTGATTGAATATATAGACTATTTGAAGATATAACCCTTGTGTGGGGGCCAATTATTGGGAGTCATAGAGATTCCGGACAATCAAACCTGGGAGAGTCAACATTCCGAAACACTCGGTAATGGGCCCGAAAGCTCAAATCCAACCCTACTCGGCCAAAGCGACCGATTGAGCAAGGGGCCGAGTGAAGATCGGACAGTCATAAAAAGTGCCGAATATGAGGTGGGAAAGGGATCTAATCCTGAGGCCCAAAAAGAAAATATATAAATAGGAGAAACATCAGCTAGAAAGAGGTATGTGACAATTACTGTGCTTAACTTAGAATACAAACTTCCTCGAGTGTATATACTAACTTGCCCGTCGGAGTGCTAATTCTGGCACCCCCGACGGGAGTGTTTATTCTTTTCCAGGTGACCAGAAGAGGATCCCGAGCGTTCCCCAGGATCAGGAAGAGTATTTCCAAACCACCTCCCCACAATTGGCGCCGTCTGTGGGAATACTCAAGCACATCCATGGCGAACGTGACGAAAGATCCTCCGACAGTCACTATCAACCCCACACCTCAAGATGAAACCACTCCAACAAACTTGCTCGGAACAGAGACTATCACCGCAAGACGTGCCCTGAATTTCGCCTTACCCTGGACTTCGGAGCATGAGATAACGCGGGCGATCATGGAACAAGTGAAGCAAAATGAACAGAGATTAGAAAGCATGATCGCTGAGAACGAACGTCTTCGTGAAAATTTGGCCTTGGAAATGGCGAAGTCTGCGCAAGCTGCGCACCCAAATCTAGAACGATCTTCAAAAACAGATGGTCGATGATCTCGAGCCCGACAACAAGATACTGATAGCAACTCTCACTCATTATCCTCGAGGCCCAAGAAGAAGGGACAATCTGTAATTTTCAGTTCTCCTGAAGAGAGTCCCCGCACAAGGCCCAAGTGAAGAAGAAACAGCTCGGATGACGATCAACACGATCCTTCTGTACGACGGATTTCAAGGGCGGTGCTATCCCAGAAATTTATAGGATCGTCATTCACCTCGCACGATGGGAAATTGGCACAAGATGGCCAGCTACAACGGTACGTCCGAAAAGGCAATCCATCCAAAGCAATAGCCTCGACACAGGATTCACATCCACTTCGCGCAATCCACATGATATACAGCATGCCGATCTCATCGGAGGTACACACGGTTCAGTCGAAGTGTAACCATCACGAGCAACTCACTCCGGCTAAACGGCCCCATAAAGCTGAGGTTATCACTTTCGATGATTCAGATTTGGCGGGAGTAACGCTACCCCACATTAATCCCGTGGTAATCGAGTTACGCGTAAACCGATTTACAGTTAAGCACGTACTCATCGATCCGGGGAGCACTTCGGAGATTATGTACTACAAGACATTCACCAAGCTTAGCTTCACCGAATCAGATCTTTCCCCGGCCCCTTATCCACTATTCTGCTTTAATGCCAATCCAGAATACCCGTTGGGGAAAATCCGACTGCCCGTTCGAGCAGGTTCCCGAACAGTGGATGTCGGATTCTTGGTCGTCAAGCTGCCATCGCCGTATAATCTCATCATGGGATGGTCCTGGTTACATACTATGCGAGCCGTGCCCAGCACCTATCATCAACTGCTCCACTTCCCGACAGAATGCGGCATTGAACAAATCCGCGACTCCTAGAAATCGGCACAAGCATGTTACCTCCTTGCGGAGAAAACGCCAAAGGCACTACAAGTGACTTCTATTGAGTTGCCGGATCAAGAAAGCCTTGATGATGTTGGGTGGCTCCCAAATGAAAAAGCAACGAAAGACTTAGAACAAGTTCAAATTGATGGAAGCCCAGACAAGTTCTTTATGGTCGGCGCCTCCTTAAATCGGGCCGACCGACAGCAGCTAATATCTTTCCTACTGAGCAACCTCGATGTCTTTGCATGGACTTCGTACGAGATGCCGAGTATCGATCCATCAATTTCATAGCACCATTTGAATGTCGATCCTAAGTGCAAGCCGATCATTCAGAAAAGCCTGCGGTCAGCCACAGAGCACACGACCGCCGTTGTTGAGGAGATCGACAGGTTGCTCGATGCCGGAGCAATTAGGGAGGTGATCTACCCTACATGGCTCTCTAATACAATGGTGGTAAAGAAGAAAAATGGGACTTGGCGAGTGTGCGTCGACTTCACGGACCTAAACGAAGCCTGTCCAAAGGATTGTTTTCCTCTTCCCAGAATAGACCAGCTCGTAGATGTTACGGCGCGTCATCAGCGTATGAGTTTCCTTGACGCCTATAGAGGCTATCATCAAATCGCCATGCATCCGGAGGACCAAGAGAAAACAACATTCCTCACCCCAAGAGGAACCTATTGCTATAAGGTAATGCCTTTTGGGTTGAAGAATGCAGGGGCAACCTACCAGAGACTGGTCACCTCCATGTTCAAAGAGAAACTCGGCAAAACGATGGATCGACGATATGGTGGTCAAGTCTAAAGAAAAGTAGAATCATATAGCCGATCTGGAAGAGACATTCGGCATCCTACGCAAATATGGAATGAAGTTGAACGCTTCCAAATGTGCGTTTAGTATCGGCTCTGGCAAATTCTTGGGCTACATTGTTAACCACAGAGGAATCGAAGCCAACCCAAGGCAAATCACAGCAATCCTGGAGCTCGGCTCCCCTCGTTCAGTAAAAGAGGTCCAAAAGTTGATGGGGATGGCTGCCGCACTGAACAGGTTTATCAGCCAGTCCACAGATCGCTGTTGACAATTCTTTCATACACTACGGCAGGGCAAGGCCTTTGAATGGTCCGTCGATTGCGAAGTCGCTTTCAACAGCCTGAAGACCTACCTCCGCTCAGTACCACTCCTGATAACACCCTCTGGTAACAACCTGCTCATTCTATACCTGGCAGTTTCTGACCGAGCCGTCAGCGCCGCATTGGTAAAGGAAGAGCTGGGGGAGCAGCGACCAGTGTATTATGTGAGCAAGGCAATGGTTGACGCCGAAACACGCTACCTTCCGCTGGAAAAGCTCATCCTAGCCCTAGTTATGGTGGCAAGGAAGCTCATGCATTACTTTCAGGGACATAGCATTGGGGTACTAACAGATCACTCCCTCCGATTAGTCCTACGCAGTACAGAAGCATCCGGACGTGTTTCAAAGTGGGTTTCTTGAACTTGGCCAATACGATATTCAATTTCTACCTAGAACTTCAATCAATGGACAGGTGCTGGCCGACTTTATCGCCGAATTCACTAGGGGCCTTGCCAATTTCAAGCCTAATGTCGACTTTAAGACAGATAAGATTCGACCAAACCCGGACTGGAGGATTTATGTCGGGGACATCTGGCAGTTGTATTGTGATGGATCGTCCAATCAGCGGGGCAATGGAGCTGGAGTTGTAATCATGACCGCTGACGGCGTAATAATTGAGCAGGCCGTGAAGCTCGACTTCGAAGCATCGAATAACGAAGCCGAATACGAAGCCCTCTTAGCCGGTTTCAGAAATGCGCATATCCTGGGTGCTCGGCGTCTGTTGGTGTTTTGTGACTCAAAACTGGTGATCAATCAGCTAAAGGGGGAGTATGCAGCAAGAAACTACCGTATGGTAGCCTATATGAAAACGGCCAATTCCCTGTTGGCAAAATTTGACCATCATGAGTTGAATCAGATAACACGTGATCAGAACACCCACGTAGATGCCCTAGCCTGCCTAGCCTCTGCAATCAACTCAGAGATTAAACGGACCATCAAAGTTGGATTCATCCCAGAGCCAAGCATCGGCCCCTCGGAGGAAGTCCAAATCAACGTTGTCGAAGCTGCACCAAGCTGGATGGATCCCATTGCCGCGTTCTTATCCTCTGAACAACTCCCAGAGGACAAGAAAGAAGCACACAAGCTACGAAACAAAGCCATGCGATACTACTTGGACCCGCAAGGAAGGCTTTATAAAAAGTCACTCGCTGGCTCATATTTAGAATGTGTACACCCGGACAAAGTTGAAGAGCTTCTGGCTGAGATACACGAAGGCAGTTGTGACGCCCATTCTGGCAGACGCTCTTTGGCCCACCGAGCTATAACGCAAGGGTATTATTGGCCAACAATGCGAGCGGACGCCGAGTGTTATGCAAAAAAGTGCGAACAGTGCCAGAAATTCTCTCCGTTAAACCATCTGTCTGCTGAAGAGTTGAACTCTATCACCAGTCCTTGGCCATTCGCTTAGTGGGGGGCTTGATATCGTAGGACCATTGCCGAGGGCCTCGAGGAACAAGCGATACCTGATCATTGCAACAGATTACTTCACGAAATGGGTCGAAGCAGAGGCATTAACTCACATACGAGATGCTGACATTAAGCACTTCGTGTGGAGGAACATCATAACACGATTCGACATTCCCAGAGCTCTTATCTCAGATAACGGCACCAAGTTTGATTATGGCGTATACCGAGAGTTGTGCAACAAATATGGTATTCGGCCTTACTTTTCTACGCCGGCCTACCCCCAAAGCAATGGCCAAGCCGAGGCCTCTAATAAATCCATCTTGGATGACATTAAGAAGAGGCTGGAGAAAGCTAAAGGCAAATGGGTCAAAGAATTACCAAGCATGCTGTGGGCTCATCGAACTACACCAAGAAGATCAACTGGAGAAACGCCGTTTGCCCTATGCTTTGGAACCCAGGCAATTTTACCCCTAGAAATCGACTACCCGACACTGAAGTCGCAAGTTTTCAATACAGACCGAAACGTCATGATGCTTGCTTTGGATTTGATTCTAATCGAAGAACGAAGAGATCGAGCCCTTGTGTTGATGGCACGGTACTAGCAGTAGCTGGCAAAGTCGTACAATAAACGCGTTAAGCCTCGCCGCTACACACCAG